AGTGACGCAAAAGCAGGCTTAGGAGTGCAGGCTGGAAGTATCCCCAGAAAAGCCTCTGGGCCTTTTCTGGAGATGACCTCCCCAATCTAACCTTTAGCTGCCTTAAAAAGTCAGAAACACAAAGCAGCCCCTTCACATCTCATGGCCTTTCTTCTAAGGCACCCTTCCTCGGGAGGCTGCCGTGCAGAGCAAATCATACCATACTGGAGCACAACAAGCCAGGCTGGAGATGGTACTTCTACCAGTACTAGAAACACCCAGGGCTATAAAGAGAGGCCATTATTTCTGGCTACCAAGGGAAGATTTCCATTCAATACTAGGAGGCAGGCATTCAGAATATTCCCAGCAGAATAGGTGGAGTTGGGAAGCCATGGGCAGCACCCCGGGTCGGTGGCAAGAACCAAAACATTAGGAGAGAATGGGAAGGAATCACTAGTGGACTAACGCTGGGGGTTGGGGGGATGTGAAGACTATGGGGGCCAGAAAGACATGAAGTGGTGGCCTTTGAGAGGGCTGCTTTGCTTGGCTGGATCCTCCCAGAACAAGCCTAACACTCTTCTGTTTCACTATATGTTGGATCAATACCCGGGGGAGAGGGGACGCACTAATGATTATGATTATGATTTATGATTTATTTATTTATAGGCCGCCCTTTTCCCTGAGGGGACTCAGGGCGGCTTACAATCAAAAANTACATGCACACACAAACACAAATTGCATCTGGCTTTACCTCTGGTTCAGTTGAGTGCTGCTCCACAAGAGATGACCCCCATGGGGCTCTCCCTGGGCCAGGCTGCAACTACAGTACCTTAGGTCTCAAGCTCTCCAGCAACCCCTTTTGGAAGAAGAGTCCATCAGCCAGATGTGGAGCTACACCTCTGGCCAAAGAGTTTAGCTTGCATTTTGAAGAGGGCATTGTTGGAGTCTCCTGTTCCTCTAACTTGGAGAAATGCGAAGGGCTCAAATGAGACATGTCTCTCATTTGAGTGAAGGGGCAAAGTCTCCCCTACAGATGCTCCCTTACAGATGTTCCAGGCAAGATGTTAACCCACCATTTTTAAATCTGTTTGTTGTTGAAGCCATCATGCTCTGCTCTAGGTGCCATAATGGCTGGGTTGCACATCTGAAGCAGCCAAAAACGAACTAAGCACACTGAGTTTCAGCCAGACAGCTTCTCTGCTCTGTTGGGAGCAGTCCTGGCTGGGCTGTTTGGTGCGGAAGAGGAAACAAGACCTTTCTGAGGATCTGGACAAAAGAAAAGCCCCTCCCTCCACCCAGGTGAGAAGTTCTACCCAGGAGCCTGACTTACCTTAGTCAGCCAAGGAAATCTTGGGACAGGGGAGCTGTAAAGCTATAGCCCACCCTTGACCTTCATTTTCATTTTAAAAAATACTTGTTCCTCTAGTAGTGTGTGCTTACTAGGAAGAACGTATCAACATGCTAAACCAAGGTTTGGAAAATAAATCACTACTAAGTGAATTCCCACAATACCAAATGGTAGTTACATTGGAAGTACAGAGTGTTATCCTAAGGCAAAAACGCATAGTTTAGCATAGTGTGAGAAGGGGTTTTGTTTAGTGCCTTAGTTTGTGGACTTAAATGTGCATAATGACGGGGGCGGGGCGCGTGGGGGGTGGTGTTATGCAGTATCTGAACCGCCCTCCTCCTAAATGGCCAACTGCTTTTGCATGCACAATGAGAGTTTCTGCTTGACCAAATAAAATATTCTAATTCTCTCCCATTAACACCAGCAAAAATGTCAGTGAGCATAATATTCCAGTTACTATATGTCATACAAATTCCATATTAAGTCAGTAACATTATTAGGCCAACTGGAGGTTTACAAAATGGTGCTCATATTTCAGAATCCTCTTCATCAAACAAGACATTTCAAAACAGGATAAACAAACAGAAGAAATCACCATGACTTCCATTAGCAACTAAGACTGGACCAAACACCAACCTCATTTCCTCTGCTGCACCTTTTAAAGTATACTGTCTAATAAACAGGAAATTCAAAAACCTGCACATTTTTAAGCTCTACCTGCCACCCCTCCCCAAAATGAGGTGGGATGTTTATTCTCTCTGAATAAAGGTTAATTTGTCTTAAGTGAGGAAGAGAAAGAAAGAAGTTCTCAAAAATATCCTGGACCCTTTCGTTTGGAGAAGAGACTGACTACTTAGGACAGGGGTGTCAAACTAAAATCCCAGAAGCCAGAGCTTGCTGGACTGCCCCCCCCCCCCCGCAAGGTGCTTAGATCTGGCCCATGGGGCACCCTGGAAATAGCGAAGGACTGGCCTGCAGTGCTTCTGCTAGCGGAAACGGGCTCCCGAGCTCTGTTTCAGCTGCCATGGCCTCCTGCAACCCTCTGCCAGTGAAAATGGAGCTCAGTCTCTTCTCCAAACGAAAGGGTCCAGGATATTTTTGAGAACTTCTTTCTTTCTCTTCCTCACTTAAGACAAATTAACCTTTATTCAGAGAGAATAAACATCCCACCTCATTTTGGGGAGGGGTG